CTTAGGCAGGACCTAGGTCAAGGTCACCTATCTTGGATCCCCTACCAGGAGTCAATTATAACACCCTGGTCCTGCTGAAGCTCCATACTTAATCATCTTTTATCATCTACACTCCACTCACTGATGTAATTTATCTGATTATGGGTGTCTGTCTCTCTGTGACTGAACTCCTTGAGCTCACTACCCTACTGTTTATAACTCCCCTGGCACAGGGGCAGCTGCCTCATGGCATTTGATAGGACCATGGACTAGTCATTTGTTCAACAGATATTGCTGACAGTGTGTGAATGTGCTCATATCACTTCATCCAGCATGTGTAGAAGGAGAGCAAAGCAATGCAGATTAAAATTTTACATTTCTTTCTTACTCAGAATATTGGGGAGCTACAGCATGGATGTGATCATTAGCACATCCTTTGGAGTTAATGTCAATTCCCTCAACAATCCATTTGTGAAAAAAGCCAAGAGCATCCTTGGTTCAGATGTCCTCCATCCATTTTTTCTTATAATTAGTATGTGGACTACCATTTCTTTTTTCTTTTAAAATAACAACTTCATTAAGATATTATTTGCATACTTTTGATTCCTTAAATGTAAAATTCCATAATTTTTAGCATGTTAAATGATACATGCAGCCATCACCATTGTCAAAACTCAGAAAACTCATTATCTTTTAACTGTCAACTTTCAAAATCATTTATCCTAAATAAACACTACTATATTTCCTATATTTTTAGCTTTGCATATGATGTATACATTATAAAATGGAGACATGTAATATGTGTTCTTTTGGGATGCAAAGTGATATCATTTAGCATTTTGTTTCCAAGTGAAATATATATCAGTACTTCATGTTTATGGCCAAATAATATTCCACTGTATATCTACTTAGTTATCCTTTCATCAGTTGATGGACATTTGTGTTATTTACATCTTTTGGCTATTGTGTTTGATGCTGTTATGAACATTAGTGTGAAACTTGTTTGTGAACTCTAGTTTTCAATTTTTTTCTTTTTTTTCTAGTTTTCAAATTTATCTGAGTGTATACTCAGTAGTGAAATTGCTGCCTTACAAATACTTCTGTCAGTGTTTTACATAATAGCTGTATCATTTAATATTCTTTCCAAAAATGTATGAAGGTTCCAATTACTTCATTTATTTCCTAACACCTCATGTTTCCATCTCTTATTTTGGACATTGTAGTGGATGTGAGATGGCATTTTACATGGTTTTGACATGCATTTTCCTTTTGGTTACTGATTCTGAGCAATGTTAATCACTTTTTAATTTATTCTTTTTAGTTATGCATGATATGTTTATAAAAACATAAAGTATACCTTATTCTAATTAGGATCCCAGGCTTGTGGATGTATATGATGGAGATTCACTATAAGGTATTCATCTATGTCCATAGGAAAGATAAGTCAGATTCACTATTTTGAAGAAATATCTATCCATGTCTTTTGCCCACATATATCTGAAGAATTTGTCATTTTGTTTTGAGGCTTAAGAATTTTACATTTGGGACAAAATTTTAACTTCAATGATCATAAAAGTTTGGAGTAACCAATATCAAAMGAGAGGAATGAATGGGTCTTGCATTGATGTATAACCTAAGAGATCATCATCTTTTCCCAAGTGGATTAAATAAAATAAGCAACCCTTTCCTCATTAAGGGAGAAAAATTTTTTTTTGCATTTTGTGTGAAATATATTCTGTATCTACTGACTCATACTCCTTCATTTATATCTAGTTATTTAAATACTGAGATATGATTTTAGGTATTATCCACACCTCATGTTTGATAGGAGGATGACAATGAACTAAACACTTAATTTGTGTAATATAAATATACAAATTTGTTTTTTTTTTGTGCTTCAATGAAGAGTGTATTCTTCACAGGAGAGATTCCACATAGTTCCATAAATGTAACACATTACTATTCTGAAATTTCAGATAGTTTGCAAATATTTTCTGCATAGAGAGAAACACAAACATTAGATTAGGTTGACATTAGATTAAAAGAGAAAGAGAGAGAGAGAGAGAGAGAGAGAGAGAGGTCATTTGTTAAATTTTAAAATTAAGAAAAGCAAAAAATTGACAGCCAAGTACTCTAAATCAATGATAAGTCTCTCCTTAAATATTTCCTGAATCCTTCCATGAACAAGTTTCCCTCGAAGTCACCATTGAGAGTTCATGAAGGGAAAAAATGAGGTGATGTAGTTAAGTGGTAATGATGTAGTTAATATTAATTTACAGAAAAAAATGGGCCTCCAGATGGGATGCTTTTGGGACAAAATGTTAACTTCAATGATCATAAAAGTTTGGAGTAACCAATATCAAAAGAGAGAAATGAATGGGTCTACATTGATAGGAGTACTCCTTAGAAGGGTATGGAAATTGAACTAGAAGTTGAAAGATGAGAATAGAATGAGGAAAATGGGGAAATAAGATTCAAAGAGTTACTATTAAAATGTAAACATAGTTTTTTTTGCAACAGGACTCAACGAAGGTTGGATCAATTAGGAAAACGCTGAACTGCATAAATCCTTTCTATCTTTAAGAAATGATTGATGTCAATGTTTCTCAACTTTGTCTCAGAATGAGACCAACAGAGAGCTTTTAGAGTCAAACTCTAGGCAAGTGATTTTAGAATTTTGGAGATGACCCAAATATCTTGTATTTTTAAAATTCTATATTGATTTCAATGTTCAGAAAATAGTTGAGAAAAACTGTCACAAAATTTCCATAATTTCTGTTGAGGAAAACAGCACTTGACATCATCCAAACATGATTTTCACAGTTCAGGATTGATTATGTAAAGCAGCCTCATCCTTATTTGAATTATAATCGAGTTTATACTTTGATAAAGTTCAAAAGCACTGCACATAAGCATGTCAACTTAATCTCAATGGACTCTACCTGATCTTTAAACTCTTGTTTTTTATAAAGCCACAGATATAGAGTTCCAAAACTGAAGAAGGCTAACATCGCACAAGTGTCTCAAAAGAGAGTCTTTGGATGAGCAGATACTTTTCTTTAAATAGGTTCCTCAACTAAATGTAACTACCCACAAGACCTTACTTTTTCATAAAGTGTCCTGACCTGTGTTTCCTTGCAAGGATGGAAGGAGAAGTTCTGCAGTAATCTGATGAGAGCAAGTTTCATGCTCATGAGAGCAAACCTCATGCCAATGCAGTTTCTGGGTCCATTTCCAAAGGGCATGTATACGTAAGGATTG